ACGAGGTCAGTCGCGGCCTGGCCGTCAGCATGCTGAAGTACTTCGCAGAGCTGTCCGATCCAGCCAAAGAATGCCTACAGGCCATGGCTCGCGCGGGGAAACCAGGTGTCAAGGTTCCCAAACTCTTCGACGAGATGCATGCGGCCGATTTGGCGAATCGAATGACAAAAGTTGAACATGCCTCCGAGTTGGTGCGCGACATCCGAGGCGCCTTTCAGGAGCGCAAGGTGCCCTGGGTCGATATCGATGTTGTTTTGCCCGCCGGGACGATCAAAGCTCCCGAGCCCGATACTGATGATAATGTTTATGATGGTAATGCAGACTTCTATGACGGCCCCGACCTCCGATACGGCCCATATACCGCCCTTATTCAGACCCTGGGCGCCCCCATGTTCCTTCCCACCTCCCGACTCAAGCGCGCACCTTCCCAGCCAACCAACGTGAGCAGATCGAAGATATTCTCCGCCAGTCAAAAACAGGCTCTGCGATTGACCATGTGCGAGCTGGTGGATACGGAGGAGCGCTACGTCAACAAGCTTTACACCCTCGTCTGCCAGGTGGCGGAGGAATACCGAATGAAAGCCCAATTGCGCCTGTCATCGAGTACGAGTCCGGACGAGGCTGATCTAGCGACTCTGTTCCCCCCGTGCTTGAATGAAATCCTTCAGGTGAACATGGGTTTTTTGAGTGTGATTCGTCAAGTCTTGGAAGAGACAGAGAAGGACGCCATTGCAGATATGACTGAAGATACGGAGCTTTCATCGTCCATGTCGCAGCGGACATCGTCCAAGGAGGACAAAGACACTATCGGTGCTGTGGCATTTGCGGACGCACTCCTGGACTGGTTCCCACAATTCTCCGAGCCATATGCGGACTACATGCGGGCCCATACCGGCTTCACTCAGACGTTGAACTCGTTCATGAAAGATAAGAATTCCAGTTTCTCCAAGCGCGTATATGAGACCGGGGAACAGAAACTCCGCTCACTCCTCATGGAGCCTGTCCAGCGTCTACCCCGTTATAGTCTCCTCATCGACACCATGACCAGTAGTCTGCCGTTGGTACACCCGGCCGTGCGCCCACTGCTGAAGGCGCGTGATGTCATCAAAGACATCTGCTCCCTCGACGATGCCTCGACCGCCAACCATGATCAGAGTTTCCGGCGGCTGAAGGAGCTGGTCGACGGCTGGCCATCCACCATACTGCCAGCCGGCCGTCTCATCACAGCGGTGGATTTCAACGAGCTGTCGCCTCCGTACCATCTCGATCTTGCAGAGGAGCCCAGCCCCGGGATCATGCTGATTTATAAGAACTGCCTGGTGTTGTTGTCTAAAGCGATGGGAGGTCGAACAACCGCGCGTGGTCTCCTGGCGGACCTGGACAACGCCGCATCAGCCACTCCGGCAGCCACCAATATTCCATTGGTACCTGAGCTGCGGGTGGTCCAAGTGTATGATCTGCACAATGTTCGATGCATGCAGTCTAACTGTGGACGTATTCTGTTCCTGGCGCCCATGTCGGTGAAGTCGCGACCCAATCAAAACACCACCGTCGACTTGCTTGCGCTGGAGCCCGTGTCCATGTATGAAGGACGCGCCAGTCGCATCATCGAGGAAATTGTGAAGGCCAAGATCGAAGGTCGATTCTCAGAAAGTGAGCGGGAGAATGGAAAGTGGACATTGCGCAGTCCATCCGGGACGGTGGCCAATCTTGGTGTTTTGGCATGTGTGTTCGAGGAGGAAGAGACGGCCGCCAAAAGACCCAGTGCATCGAAAATCCGGATAGTTTTCAATACTCCCCGCGCAGTCTGCAGCCAAACATTATCAAATTCCGATCTCGAGGTTATTGTGTCGGTCTCCGCGTCGAGCGAGGACCAGTTTCGCGTGGACATTGACTCCGTCGTCGGCCATGCATCCTCCGATCTTGTGACCGCGGACAGCTTCGTTGCAGTACTGTCTAAGCGCCGTAAGTATAATCAATACCTGCATGTGAGATTGTTTGCTGACCGCAGTTAGTGTCTAATGTGCTACTCCCGCTGCATGGCCCGCAGAACCGCACGATGACTGAATCGATAGTGCATTCCAACTTCGAAATTCTGCGGTATCTCGCCGGTCATCTCATGGCCAATTTCAAGGTCCCGCGGGGATTCCGACCGCCATCAGCCTCGAAGCTACTGTCGAGTCTGCTGGGAAGCCACCAACCCAAGGAAAACAGCGCGGGCAGCATAAAAATGCCCAGCTCAGCAGCGCTGCTGGGGGAATTCCCTCGCATGCCGCCGCCTCGAGGGAATATTCCGCGTTCCAATACGCTGCCTTCGGCGTTTCCAGGGAAGGAAGAGAGTCCGGTCAAGATTTCGGTGGTTGGCGCGCCGCCTTCGAGGGGCCAGGAAAGCCCGTTCAGCGCCCTGGAGCAGACCTTTGCCGCGTTCGCTCTCGCCCTGCAATCGCGGAGTGGAAACATTGTTGGACGCTCTCTACGAGGCCGAGACAACGTGGACCGCTCGTCCGTCAATGAGCTGTACAATATCCTCCTGGAAGACCCCGGCAAGATCCAAGCTGCGGCCGAGGTGTCGGTCGATACATTGTTCGTGGCTTTTGAGACGTTCATGGCCAATGCATGGCGCGAACACATGGGGCCCGTAATTGATTCTTCTTCATTGAACTCGTTGCAGAGCCAATTTGACAGCATGTTCCCGCGAGATTTCGAGGAGAGCTTCCGCAGATTTCTTGCCGACATGAGCCCCCAAAATCGCCGTGCGCTCGCTTCTATGATTCGGTTGCTTGCAGAGCTTCTTGATGCCTCGGGGAATGACGGCGACCGTGGTGCGTTAACGGCAGCCTTTGCAGAGGTCCTGACGGTCGAAGGAGATCCGATGCAGTACATCTCCCTGTTGGATCGTCTTGTCGATGACTTTGATAATTTGTTTGACGAATATATCCCCGGAGGCGCCGACTTGGAAGGCACGCTCAATTGCGACCAAACCAAATCGGTGTCCCAGACGGCAGGCTCGATGAACTCCAATGCGTCGTCGTTTCGGAAGCGTTTCGGATTCAGCCTGCACCGCGATAACTCCAAGTCGGAAACAGAGAGTAAAGTGTCGTCCATTTTGCGAACGCTGAGCAAAAGTAAAGGATCGGGCGATTCTGAGCCCGGGACGCCGCGCGGGTCACTGCTGCTCCGGTCCAAGTCCATCGATGTCGACACGGGGCTGGTCTCGTTACTGCGGCCAGGCTCCCGCGATCGCCCGGGTGCGTCCACGTCACAGGAGCATCTTCGTCGTCCTGGAAGCTCTCAGGATGAGGCTTCCTCGTTATCCTCAATTCGAGGTATTTCTACTAATGGGGTGGTCAGGATCAGGAGGAGACGGCGGAGTTCTCTGTCCGACATCAGACCAGGCACGGCGTCATCTGATGTGTCGATCTTGTCTACCAGCCAAGGACAGAGACCCATGACTCCGTCATCGTCGCTTCCCACCCAGCCGCGAGCGGAGGCGATGACGCCAGCGGGCCAGACACGGCCGCAAACAAGTCACGGCTCGGGCTCGGTCCGCAGCACGTCCCCTGCAAAGAGTGCCTCGCCCACGCGGCTGGCGTCTCCAACCCGCCGATCCCCGACCCGCCCCGTCACACCCAGTCGCAAGGAGAATATTGACCCCAAATTACCGCAAACCGACCGGGCCCCGAGAAAGAAGGCCGACGCAACGGGCTCTCCTCCCCCGGATATCAAGAGACGATCGCGGGCAACCAGCATCCCTTCCTCTAGAGTGCCTGGCTTGAAGGAGCGACCGATGCAAATCAATGGCTCCGACGCGAGACGCTTACAACCGACCCTAGGCTCACAGAAGACGCCGAAACTACGTCTGCAGAGTCCACAGAAGGTGAGCTTCTTCTTATGTTGTGTGTGGTACTCTTCTAACAGCTGCAGCTCCGGGATCGCCTCAACAGCGAGAAGAAGGCCCAAAATATCGCTTCCTTGGGACTGAAGGATGAGCTCGAGCTTATCGGCGCGGAACTCAATGCATTGAGACTGAACCCGACGCCGTACAAGGGCGATGGCAAGGTCCACTCCCTTGAAGAGCCGTTTGCCCCTTCGACCGCCAACGCCGCGCTGGCCTCCCGGGTCCGTAGCCTCGAGACGAGATTCGAGACGTTCTCGGAGGAGATGAATGGCCGGACTGCCTCGATCGAAAGAGACTTGGAGTCATCGTTGGTGGTGAGTGAGCGACGGGCCAAGAAGCTGGACGAGCTCTACCGGGAGGCCAGCGCCGAGAACGAGGCTCTGTATGATCGGTTCAATACGGAGCTGGAGAAGATCGCCAAAGACATGCGGACGGGGAACGGGGAAGAGTCGCTGAAGTCGCAACTGTCGTCGGCGCTGGAGGAGATTGGCCGCTTGAAGAAGGAGAATTTCCGACTGAAGCGTGAGGTGGGAGGGTTGCGTGCGCAGCAGGCGGCCGTTGCCTTGCTGAAGGCGAGTGAGTAGATATTTTCTGTCTTGTGTCACCATCAGGCCAATCGCCTGATTTTCTTGTTTATCGAACTGGTGCATCGACCTGGGTCTTTCCTTGAACAACTTTTCTTGTGTGCGTCTATGTGTCTATAGGGCATTGTTTTGTTGGATGGGGCATAGCATCCGTGTCTTTGATTTTTTTGAGTCTGGGGGCAATGGCGGGGTTTGATTTTCTGGGGGCCGGGTTCTTGGGGCTTTTCAACCATCGCATGGTCACGGAGTGTATCGCCTTATGGGTGTCGAAATTTCTTGATACTTCTGGTGTGTTAATCAGAATCCAGAGGTCTTTTTTTATGGGGGGTTGTTATTGTAGATGCAGGTTGTTTGCTGCTGGTAGGTTCTGCGATGCGTATCATCAACTGAGCATGATATCTTGATATTCCCGGGACATTTCGTAGAAGTTCCTAAGGTACTATCTTGGATTAAGCAGAGTTTGTAAATGATATACAGAGATTATACAGTGGGTACAGGACAGTAATAGGTGAAGTGAAGTGACTAGGTGAAGCGACTACTCCTCCGATTCCCACCCCATTAATCGAAGCGTCCCCGTCCGATCCACCATCTTATACCGCCATTCCCAGCGTAGGCTCTTCCCCTCCGGCCATTCTTGTTGTTTGGATGCCGGCGAGGAAGGAAGCCACAGATCCAGCGTCGGGAGGGCGAGGGGGATTTCTTCCTCTTCTGCCGCTGGTGGTGGCGGTGGTGGTGTCTGTGTCTTGGCCGTGTTCCACCTCTGTTGCGAGTTGGGAATATGGTTTGGGGATTGGGATGGGGATGGGGATGGTGGGGAAGTTGGATTTGGATGTGAAGTCGGATTTGTGTTTGTTGCGGTAGTCGGAGGTGGAGGTGAGTTTGGGGTTGTGCTTGTGCTTGTATGTGTGTGTGTTGTTGTTGTCGTTGTCGTCGTATCCGAGACCGGGGCCGCGACTGTCGAGATATCTACCTCCTCTTGCCCATCCTCGACAGTGACGGTTTGCTGCTGCTGCTTCTGCTGCTGCTGCTGCTGCTGCTGCCGAACAAGCACCTGCACCAGCACGGGGATAGTGAATCGCGTGCGTCCGGGGCCGACCTGCGCGAGGAGGCGGGTGAGGGCTTTGGGGTCTGCTATTCTTCCCTGCTGGTTTGCGTTTTGTACATCATCGCTATCACCATCGGTGTTAGTATCACTATCTGTTTTCGTTTCCGACTGGGAAAGGGTATGCTCCCCGTCGGTCTTGTTGATGTGCTTGCTGAGATCGTGGTGGTGGGCGGTTTGTGTTGGGATTAACTGGCGGAGGATGTTGAGGTCTGATTTCTGGAGGGGGCGGATGCGGATGTGGATTTTCGGGGGTTCGGGGTTTTGAGAACTGATTCCGGGGTTGGGGTTGGGGTTGGGGTGGGGGATTGATTTTGGTGGTGTGGTGCTGCTGCTGCTGCTGCTGCTGCTGCTGCTGCTGCTGCTGGACCAGCCCACGCGGAACCAGTATCTGTTATCCCAGAGGTGCCATTGCTCTTGCTCCTGCTCCTGCTCCTGCTCCTGCCGTTCAGTAGTGGTGACAGATCCCTCCGTGCAGAGGTGGAAATCCAGAACCGGGAGCCGGTTCTTCATGTACGGTTGGCGGGAGAGGAGCCATGTGTTTTGGATGTTGCCGTTGCTGTTCTTGGGGGCATCAGACCCCTGGGCGTGAGCTGCAGCAGCTCTCAGAAATAAACTCTCCTCGCCCTTCTTCTTCTGGGCCTGGGACAACGACAGGGGCTGGAACAGGACGCCGCCCAGCGTGAACGGCTGCTCCTGGTGCTCCTGCTCCTGCTCCTGCTTGCCCCGAAACACCCTCGCCACAAACGGCTCGAACGCGCGCAGCGGGAAGTGATTATCCGGGAACGGGGAGACGAGCTCCGTGATGCGGCGGAGGGCGAGGGCTTGTATTTGGGTGTGTACACTTCGTTCAACAGCAGCATCACCCTGACCATCACCCTCACCCTCACCAACAGAATCACCACAAGATGCAAGCGAAGGAAACCTAACACCCAGGATCCCCGTCTCCGGCACGAACCCCCCAACCCCACACAACCGCAACAGCCGCTCCGACTCCTCCTCAGCCGTCCTGATAAGTCGACGACTCGCCCCCATCAACCCCAACACGGACCCCTCGCGCAGCGCCCGCGGCAGTTTCTGTTGTGCCAACAGACTCCGTATGGCATTGCGGGGCGTCAGCGTGGGATCGAAATTCGTCGGGTCGGAGACGAACGGGATTCCGTGAGTGGCGCAGGTAGCCAGGAGGTCGGATTTGGGGAAGGCGAGGAGCGGGCGGATGATGGGGAGGGTTCCGGTGGCCATTGGCGCTGTCTGCTGCTGCTGCTGCTGCTGCTGCTGGCCAGAGCCCACCTGGGAATGGGAATGGGAAGGAAAAGGGCCAGGGTATGCGGATGTCAACAACTCCACCCCCCGACTCCCCACCACCCCAAACATCCCATGACACTCGGGGATGCCCGTGCATTCCGGAATCCCGGCGAGCCCGGCGCCGCGCGCGCCCGTGCAGAGCCGCCACAGCGTGGTCTCGACGGCGTCGTCGCGGTGGTGGCCCGTCAGGAGGGCGTCGATGTGCGCGGCGCGGCCGGCGCGGCCCAGGGCTTGGAAGCGGAGGCGGCGGGCGTGGGTCTCGAAGGCGGGCAGGGTCTGCGGACTCGTGGTCAGGCTGGACCAGTCGAGCGGCAGGATGTGCGTGGTGATGTTCATGTCTGCGAGCCAGGAGGCGACGGTGGCGGCCTCGCGCGAGCTCTCCGCGCGCGCGCGGTGGTCCACGATGAAGGCTGTCACGGTCACCTCAGGAGTGGATTTCTCCCATTCGCGGCACAGGTAGGCCAGCGCCATGCTGTCGGCGCCGCCGCTGATGGCCAGGCCTGTACAGTATTTTGTTAGTTCCTCTTTGGCCAAGTGGAGGCTGGGGAGGGACGCACCTAGTCGGGATGGGAAACGGATGTCCCGCGCTCGCTGGCCCCCGCGCGTCCTTGAGTCGTGCCATATTCGCTGGAAGGAGTTCACGAACTGCGAGACGGTTATTGCAGTGGGTTTCTTGTGGTGCAGTAGTTCGGAAATGGCCATGGCTGGCCAAGGGACCAAACACTCAAAATGTTGATGGGGAGGATGACGGAAGAGCGGAAGGGCGAAGTTGATAGTGTATGATTTGATATGATAAGATTGCCGCTCTTGGCATCATTTATCGCTGCATTCTATAGTTAACCTACTATGCAGTGTCACAACTACAAGTTCCGAGTACTGTATGTTTATAATCCAACGCACACAACATCAAAATCAATTCGCTGCGCAGATCGCACAATATCTTGGTATCGCAAATCCACAGGTGTATGTACCGGCCCATCATCAGACGAGCCCGACCAACTATTAACAGGAAATCCTCCACCCCTCCCCCCCCCCCCCCCCCCCCCCTAAGCATTGCTGACCGAGACCGCCGAGCCCGAAGCCGCGTGCGACCGAATACTAGCCGGCGGCGCACTGCCCGCCTCGCCATTCAGCGCCAACGCCGTCCCAAACCCAGTCCCAGTCTCCTTCTCTTCCTCCGGCGCCGGCATGCGGATCTCCTTCTTCCCGTTGGCCTTGTAGTACAGGACCATGTCGCCTGAGGACCGCCAGATGTGCGCCCGGATCGTCGCCAGAGTCATGTTCGGGGGGATTGGCTGGGCCCGTTAGCCATGTCGATGCGGTGACACCCGGGGGGGAAGAACGTACCATCCTCTGGCAATACAGCTCCAGATACTCCTCGGCTTTCATGGGGTTTGCTTCCGGCTCGTGGGGGTTGGGAGGATCGATCCGCTCCGCCACGTAGGCCAGGATCTTCTTGGCGCGCAGCATGCGATTCGCGTTGAGGCGATTGTTGTTGGCATTGGGGCTCCCGGGCGGCCTTTCTCATTAGCTTCGCTCGAACAAGACCAAAAAGGAGACATACTCTGGTTTGGCTACAGGGGGCAATAGATCATCGTATGGCTTCAGTGTGAAAGCAATTTTGACCGGTTCTTTCACTGGCACTTGGTTCTGCAGGTTGTTAGTCGCTGACCGGCAAATACTAGCTAAGTGCTTACCTTCAGGAGCAGCTCAGCAAGCCACAAGGGTATCGACTTCTCCAGCTTCTCAATCTCCTCGCTGATCCGGCCAACCGTCCCTCGGTACAGATCGGACGCCACAGCCGTATCACCCGATTCTTCTTGGATAAATACCACGGTGCGCGGGGGAATGTCCAGGACCGGAGTCTCATTATCTGGGCTCGGAGTGAACGCCGACGTCAACTCCCGGCCAGGGTTGGCAGACATGAACTCCTCATACTCGTGCCGCGTTCGCTCAATGAACCCTCCCAGGTTAGTCTCAAATACCTTCTCTTCCTTGATCGACGACTTATCCGACTCCTCCACCTTCTCCTCTGGGACCTGCGGCTTGACCTCCGATGAGGTCCGCCCCAGCTTCTTGGGGAAATCCATGCGGAACTTCTTCCCAAACAACGACGCACCGCGCTTCCGCTCCTCTTTGTCGGGCTCGACCGGAGACTGCGGGAGAGCCGTCGGGGTCGGCTCGCCTGGGGTAGTCGGTACCTTATCGGTGTCGAGCGAGCCCATACCCTGGTTTCGTGACGATGAAAAGTAGTCGCTGGAGCGGTCCGAGAAAGAGGCCCGGGTCATGTCCGCATTCTGCTGCGACTGCGACATGAGATATTCCGACGTCGAATCTCCAGGAGAGGTGCCCAGGTGACTCGCATTGTTGATGTAACTGGAAGTCCACATGGGTGATCCCATAGTCGCCGGGCTGCCGGCATACCCGATGCCGAACCCGCCGGGTGTCGTAGGGCTACCGATCGAATCGTAGCCAGACCTAAAAGTGGCTGTGAAGGGGTCTAGAGGCGACTGCAAGCCCAGCGCCCGCCTCGAGGGATCTGCCGATGGAATGTCGACCGGGGCTGACGCGCCAGTGCTGGTCAGGCGAGCCAGTTCTTCCGCCTTGGCTACCATCGCAGCACGGAACTGGGCGTCCCGTTGAACGTGCTCTTGCACCAGAGGTGCGAATAGCCAACGCAGAATCCATTTTCCAAGATTAACTATTATTGTCAGTACCTGGAACCCTGCGAAAGGAAAACGACTTACTCCTTTGGTCTTCCCGAAATTGCGACTGATCCGCCAGATCCGACTCGTCGGCATACACTTCAGCATCGAAGCAACGGCCAGGCTCCAGAATCACGGAAAGACGCCCGGTTCGAATGTCGATGGTACACCAGTGAGCGATGCTCTCGGTTGTGTTGATCTCGGACGCGACATCGTCCATATGTCTCTTACCGAAAGATTGGATTGGTTTACACTAGTGGTGGGTTAGAGCGGTCACCGCAATTGAAGAACTGGCGATAATACCTTGAGCAAATCCCACAGAACAACTTCACCAGCGGAGTCCTGAGTCAATGTCCGTTTCCGGTCGTTCAACATAGAGTATTTGATCAATCCATGTTGACCTTCGATGGTTTCCTCGGGCAATGCCTGTATAGGCAGCGTCAACCCCAACTCATCGTCGAGGTCAGGACCAGACAAGAGCCGGGGAGAAGCCGGCCCCGAGCGCGGCGTCTCATCGTCTAGGGGGCGCGCATTAGGGAAAGTGGAGGTAGGCGACAGCAACAGGACCGATTCATATGGGATCTTCTTGGGCCGGCCGTCTGATGGCGCAGACGTGGGCGCCTGAGTCTGCACATTGCGGTCTCGTACAGGGGGCTCAATCTCAGCCGTGGTGTCCACATCGCGCCAGCGATGAATACTCGACTTAGGGGTTGCCGTCCAAATGTAATCGCCCGCGGCTACAACGTTGACGACGCCCTCGTGCTCTTGCAGAGCCGCCACGCACGTGCCCTGCTCAATGTCCGGAGAATTCCGGGTGTCTGTTTTGGCGACGAGACCGGACCGGTCGCTGGAATAGAACACCGACAGTTGCGGGTGGTTGGAATACAGCGACCAGACGCTGTCATTATGCATGGTCAAGGTATGCATGCATCTTCCCGCGGTAAGAGACCAGATCTTGATGGTCTGGTCGGACGAGGCGGTCATGATGGTGTCACCATCGCGATTGATCAAGATATCGCGGATGTTATCTGTATGACCGACAAACTTGGTGATAAGCTTTCCGGATTTCGGATCCCACACGCGAACCACGTTTTCCGGACCGCCGCTCGCCAGGACGGAGGAGACCGCGCCCAAAGCATAAACGGAGCCCTTGGCCGTGCGATCATCCCCGGACGCATCGATCCCCAGCACCTCGCCGCCACCGTTCAGATCCCACAGGTAGAGCTTATGGTCCAGGCCGCCCGACGCGACCCACGACGAGTGGTTTCCGGGGGTGGCCAGGGCCTTGACATAGTCTGCGTGTTTGCCGATGGGAGCCGGCACCTCGGTGGATTCGGAGTGAGGGCGCCAGAGTCGGACGGTGGTGTCGGACGAGGCCGAGACTAGCGCGGAGTTATCCTTGGTCAGCACGATGTCGTTGATCCAATGGCTGTGCGCCTGGACCTGGTTGCGAAAGGTGGTTTTGCCGGGGTTGGAGGAGTCGGTGAGCGAGAAGTTGAGATCCCACGAGCAGACGACGCCGTCGCGACCTGCGGAGTAACTGGTGCGACCGGTGGTATTAGTGTTGTGGCGGGGACAAGGGGTTGCGCCGGGCGCATGCGGTACTAGGCAACCGAGCGATCCGAGAGACGCAGGTAGTGGTGCTTACAGGATGGATTGGTCGGGGTCGACTGCCAGGCCATTGACACCTAGGCGATGGCCACCGGGTGCGTCAGGCAGAGGAAGCACTATAGAGCGGGGATGGTGGTTAGTTGGGATCTGCATTCCCCAGCATGCCAGGAGTGTCGGATAAGCGGGGGATTCAGATGATCAGAATCGATGGTGACATGGGGAAGGCAGCGGTCATTGAGGAACAAATCAATAAGAGGAGACATACCATACGTGACCCTCTGGTGGCTGAGTTTCCTCGCCATGCAGCAGGGTGGAGGCGGAGAAGAGCAGGATAACGAGGAAATGCGGAGGTCGATGCAGGATGCGGAGAGACGATCACTCGAGGGTCAGGGGTGGGGAATTCATCGGGGGGCGACTGTTTCAGACGAGAGATGGTATATGGGTCAGTAGATGACAGGAAGAAGCGCGAATGCTATTGAAGAGAAAGAAAGGTAGGAGGATTGGAGAAGTCGGGGAGATGGAGATGGAGAGAAACGGAGCCGGAGAAGGTGGAATGATGGGATGACGAGACGAAATTCAACCGCCGGCGGGTCGGCAACTGGTGGACTGCCAGCTGCAGCTGCCCCGTGTACGAGTACTATAGAAACTAACCACATGTAGAATGTATAATATATGCAGTTTTTAAGATTAGAAAAAGAATAGCTTAATACTAGTAATCTTTTTATTTCTGATCATATGAGATATTCTAAAAACATATATATATAAGTATATAATATATTAAAAAATATTTTAAAAAAATAGTTTTATTATTATAATCAAGTCTTCGCCTGTACTATAAAAACTTGAAGTAATTAGCTACTTAGAAGATTGAAAAATATTAACAATCTTAAAGCTTATTCAAACAGTTCCCGTGATTTAATACTGATGTTTGCCGTCTACTAATCAGTAACTAGACCTCGACTATTACAGCCTCTCTATCAAGCCAGCGCCCCCTTCTACACAGAGCCTTAAGTCTACCTAGGCGTACAACTAAAATGGCGGGACTCGAACGTAAACGCTCAAAGTTGCAAGGTGAAGGCTGGAGCAGGCTATGATCAGTTAAGTCAAACAATTTCCAAAATCTTCTTCATCCCAACAACTTATGTTTGACATGTTGTCTCTACAGCTTGGGTCACGTATGGAACCTGTCACAAATCGGTCAAGGCTCTCCTATAACAGCCGGGAAGGCCCTCTTTAAGTAGGAATTACCAGACCACGGAGATCATGTATTTGAGCTGATACCATAAATCTCGGACAGTGCATCGAGCAATTCACATGCTTCAAACCTTCTCAGTACCCTATCCGAGTGCGACGGAGCCAAAAGCCCTACTTAAGACCACTGGAAACGAATGACAACCTTGGTTTCCTGGTGCGCATTGAACCGTGCATAGGCCTGTGGTGCGTCCTCGATGCGGACTAGTGAGCTGATAACAAATCTCGGCTTAGCGAGACCACTGCTTATCAGTGGCAACAGTGTGGCAGCGTAGTCTGGAGGGTAGATAGCACCGACTTTGTACTGAAGGCTCTTCGAGAAGAATGTGCCAACAGGGAAGCTGATATCATTCATGACAGAGCTTCCTCGTGGAACCCCTGTGCTGTTATGCACGTCCGCGTAGATGCCGACACCACCTATTCCACCGTTTCTTGCGGTCAAATTGACCATCTGGCGAATGATGATGTCCGATTCCATTTGGAGCGTTTGATTGACTGCTTCGAATCCAACACAGTCCACGCTGCGAATGACGCCGTTCGGTTCTTGAGCAAGAATCTGCTCCACAGGGTCCGATGTCAAAAAGTTCACGGGCACAGCACCTATGGAACGAGCCAGCTCAAGCCGTTCGGGCACGTAATCCACGACGTATACCTTGGATGCCCCACGAAGCACCGCTGAATACGCCGACAGGAGGCCCACAGGGCCAGCCCCGAAGACGGCGACAGTATCACCTGGTTCAAAACCAGAGAAATCAAGGGCACCCCAGCCAGTAGCGAAGATGTCCGACAAAAACAGGTAGTCGATATCACTGTCTGACGGGATGGAAGTGTTCGACGGGATAGGAATCAAGTTCTGCTCGGCAAAAGGGACCCTCACATACTCGCCTGGACGGGGAAAGAACTAGTCAACAGAAGAAATTGAGGTTGTAAAGCAAAGCTTACTCTGACAGCCACCCAGATCCCCCCGGTCAGGCCCCATGCCAAAAGGAAAAGAGGTAGTAGGCTCTGTAACCACCTGCGCGTCGTGAACAGTGTCCGAGATCACTACTCGATCTCCCACCCGGAAATTGCTAACAGCATCCCCAAGGTCAGTGATGAAGCCAAGGGCCTCATGACCCATGGCCCACGGGACTGTTGCACTTCCATAATGGCCACGATAGGTATGCAGATCTGTACCACAAATGCCTGCGACTGAAACCCTTACAATTGCGTCTGTAGCGGACTGAAGAAGTGGAACCGGCAGTTCAACGACACTGACATTGAAAGGCGTTCCTGTCCAGACCACGCCCCGCATGAGGGCAGTAGTTGTCGGAAGGAAATCTGTAAAATTCATAGCTATCAAAGAAGTCATCAACACAAGTTTCAGAGGGAAAGTAGACGGCCGAGGAAAGCATTTCAACCCTTGACCAGAATGACAACAGCCTGTCCAGGACGTAGTTATTTATAGTGGATTGTTATCATCAGACGCAGGCGGGGTAAGACCCCCAATCCAGTCCGACGGTCAATTTGGCCGCCTCGGCATGAAGTCCCAGAGATAGCATGATCCCAGCGGTGATGCTGAGCCCTGCCATGTATGGTTTCGATGTCTCGACAGTACGGAGTACGCAGTACACATCGAGAGGTTCTGCCTGCAGTGTCACTCGGTGCTTACCACTTCCAGCTAGCGCCATAAGCGACCGTAGCTACTAGGGCCGCTATTTAATCATCGATGGCGGCTGATGGCTGAGCACGCTGCCGTAACCTGCCCGGGTTGTCTGACCAGCGAGCTGACACGGATTGAAACTTGTCATCGTCATTGTTCTCCGATTCTTATTGCCGACCCGATCAACGGCTTCCGCCGGCGATCCCCTCATGATGCCTATTTAGGCTAGCGCATCAGCAACCCCATCTCCGAGCAAAGCCCAAGGTAAGTTACCACTAACTTATCTTCCAGGAAATTCAAACTGCAAGGCTTCGATTTCGTCGCGACAACTGAGCCACCGTATAGAAAATGCACTCCAGAATGCTTGCTGATGCATCAGGACAGATCATAAAGCCCCAGTATTCTGCAATTGTATGTGAAGAAGAGACAGTATACTTCTCTAGCGACGGAGAGCATGCGGATACATTAGCCGACCTCTTGAATCGAATCGGTATAATAGATCCAAACTATATCAGGAGCTTACACTCTGAGGTGATGAAGAAACCCCAACCACGGGTGACGGGACCCCTTGGGATTGTATTGTGCGGGTTGCAAGTAAGGTAATAACGTCGAAGAAATTATGCCACCGAAACGTATCCGGGAAACAGTCTATCGTAAAAGGAGACCTCCTTGTACTTGAACGGATGAGACGAGTAATCTTTGAACCGCGGTGATTCATCACTATGAGCAGTATGAACGTGACTGAAAGCTGCGATTTCCACTAAACTGTACTGCTAATCTTATTCCAGAGATACCTGCAGCGGAACTGCAGACATCGCATCATACGTCGTCTCGCGCTAAGTCATAGATGCGATCCAGCTCTTCCCCTTGGGAGGCATCCAAACTCTTGCACACGGCCTCTTCCACGGCCTCCTCAATGTCCTTGGATCCCTTGTTGATATCAAACCATCCATTCGTGTCATTCCTTGATAGAAGGCTGATAGCTGTCAGGGCCACATCGCCCGGAGCAATTTGACCTAATGCTGTGGTGTGTCCCAACGTGATCTTGCCCGTCGGAGGTCTGCTGACGAACCACGTCGGCCTCAGAGAGATACCCTGGAAATGCTGGCCCTTTGCCTGCTTCGCATGTGCCACGGATAGCAAATATTCGTCCGTTTGCACCTTCATTTGGGCGGCGACAGGAAACATACTTTTTTCCTTCCGATGATCCGCCCACTCCTTGTCATTCCACCAAGGTGCCCGCCTCCGACGACTAGCAGGGAATGATATGACCAAGAATTTTCTCACGCTGGTGTGCCCCGCGGACACCTTGATTAGCATCTTGGCAGCGTTGCAGTCGATAGCTTCATAGTTCGCAGAACTGCCTATTTCAGGGTCAATTTGGAAGGACAGCATGAGAATTGGAGAGTTAGAAACACACTTGCGGTGAAAACAACGCAGTCCGGTTTGACTCGCTGGAAGATCTCCCCGGCTATTGTTTCAGAAAGACTCAGAAGGTCACAAACAACCACATCGGGGCTGTTCTCAAGGCCGTCTCCTAGTTGCAAGATTTCGACGCGCTGCCTAGGGTCTCTGACAACACATGTGACATGCCATGAGCGCTCCAGCATATACCTCGTCATTAAACGGCCGATTGTGCCGTTTCCACCAAAAACGATTGCCTTGAGGGTCATTGTCGCTCGTAATACGGACGCCTGACTAAGGAATCTGAGGTTCTTTGGGGATAAAGAGAAATTTGATGAAGGAGTTTTCGGACCTTCAAAATCTGATCGCGGCAATTGGAGTAATTATACTTGAAGAGAAATAGCTACGGCTGCTCCGGCGCGACCTCAAGTCAGCAATAGTAGAATTTGGGCGGGATTAGTGGACTTAGCGGAATTTAGCCTTGTCTGAAGCCCACTGATGATGCCTCTAGACAAAGGTCATGTTTGCCATGGCAGTCCGTCCTTGGTTGAGATTAGACGGGATGAGATGGCAACATCGAAGAAATTCCTCTGCAGGCTCTCATGCGGTAGTTTCAAACAAAGCTGCTACCCCCTGTAGTTGTTTTTTTTTTTTCGCGGTGCCAACCATCCCAGGGCGTTACTGGTCCACGATCGACCATGTTTCCCAGAGAAACAAAAACAGCCGCTCTTTGCGGGATAAGAGAGCAGGTAAAGTGGAGTGCATTCGAGATCTAAGGTCGTGCAGTACAGTTTTAATGCCCCACTCCCTATGTCATTCATGGTTCCCGGTCCGATTCCGGCTAATGCCATAAGCAATCTTTAGTCTCCAATCGCAGCGTGTTTAGGAAGTCAATCTAAGAACTTACATTTTGTTTGGTATCATGGAGACCCCTTTCGAGAAGGATTAAGTATTTTAACAGCGGAAGCAAAAAACAAACAGATTTTTCTAACAGAATTGCAAATAATAGCTTAGATCATATAGATCAATAAATCAGTTACTTCTGCTGTTAATATTTTGACATTCTATAAAAAAAATACTCTAAAACTTATAGAAGAGAATCGCCCGGCAATTATAACTATATATTATTAGCTAAACTATATCATATCCAGTTTGAATATTAGAAAGAATATTAGCTATCAGCATACCAAGTTTCAAGCCAGTGTCCAGCCTACCCTAGACACCCACCCGCAATGAATAACTCTCGGTTTTGTCCTCCAACTTAGGAGTCCAACAATCCATGCCAGGTGACCTCGACAAAACCAATCACAAGCATCACTCACACCAGGAGCCTGCGATATAAAGTGCCCAGTGCACAGTCAACTGTCCCAACAACAACTTAACTCATTGGTCCAAACAACACTAGAGTCGATATACCTACATCACTGCGGCTTTCTCCATACTGAGTGAACAGATCCCTGACCTAGAGATAGTATACCGCACAGAGTACTGTACCTGTCGTATGCCCGCATGTTCACGAATCACACCCAGTCCCCCACAAGCCATGCATCCATCCCGTCTTGCAGCCCCACAACAACCCTGATATCATCCTGATGCCACGTTCTGATCCGCCCCTTACTATAAGCTTAGTATACTAGTACTGTACAAGTATAAGATGACAGTTCCCTAAAACAAAGACAATAAAAATCCAATTTACCCTAAGATCACCACCCTCCACCACTACCATATCTCGAACTACCATACTTCTACCACCATATCTCAAACCACAGAGTATACACACTTCCCCCAACCATGCAAAACACTACCTCGAGAAGAGTACAATGCCCAATGCCCAATCCCAATCCCAATCCCCATCCCCAAACCCAAACCCTCCCCCCCCAAACCCCCCAAAACCCCCTCCCATACCCCCTCCACCCCCACCCCGAAGGCGGCTACTACCACCAAACCGACCGCCACCCCCTCACCCTGCCCACCCCGTGGCCTTCTCCCCAGGGAAGCTCCCGCTCCCTCAGCACAACAATCACCTACCTCCTCACCCCCTCCTCCGCGGTGGGCATCTTCCACCGCAACAAGGGGCGGACGGTGCATTCGCTGCATCGGGGACGGGGACGATACGTTCTGTTGCGGGAGGATGCATCGGTTACTGGGGATGAGGATGAGGTGAATGGGTCAGGGGCAAAGGGAGGGGGAAGGCGAAGCAAAAGCAACGGCCAAGCTGCCGTCGAAACCTTCGTGGTGGGTCAGGATACGCAGCATGGGGAGCGGATGCAGTGGGTGGTTGAGGGGGGGGTGTGGAAGGGGTGTTTTTTGGAGACACGGGACATTGACAGTGACGATGGGGAGGGGTTTGAGGGTATGTTGATTAGTGAGGTTCGTTTTTTCCTTTTCCTTTGGGGGTGTCAGGGTTAGCAGAGGAGTCAAGGTATAAGGGTGAGTCGAGCTGACAACACCCCAGACGGTCGTGCCTGGGTTCGAGATGGAGGACCACGAGTTCCTCTCGCGAAGGAAGATGGAGGAGATGCTCCCGGAGGAGCAGACCCAGGAACTCCAGTGGATGTTGCGGGAGGATCATCCCGAGGTACCGTCTTTCTAGCATACTAGTACTAGTACATGCATCCTGTATTCCAGGAAATAAAATATACATCTAACCCGTCTAAAACCCATCCATCCATCTATAAGATAATTCCACTCACTCAACCCACCCAACCAAACACCCACCAAAAAACCCTACAAAGCATCCCCCTCCCTCAGTACCCGCTGCTTCCTGCCCCCCTCCAACCCATTCCACGCCCACTGATAACTCCCCAAGAACACCGCCCCGCCGATCCCAATCCACGCGACGCGGGGCCCAATGCCCCTCCAGAACGCCGCGCCGCCGCCCTCCCGCGCAATCTCCTGCACCACCTCCCTCACCCGCACCTTGCCCTCCCCGGACGACCGTCTCGCCAGCATGACCCGCGTCTTGACCACATCCAACGGCGTCGTCAACCCCGCCGCAATCGCGCCCGCCACGCTGCCGAACATGGCGCTCGTGCTCGCGGGGACCATCTCCAGCCCCTTCCGCTTAGCGTACCCGTCCTTCATGCTCTCCCACATCGTGAACTGCAGCACCGTGAACGGGATCTCGCGCGCGATCGTGATCCCCGCGCCCCGGTAGAGTTCCCGCACCACTGACCCGTAGCCCGCGCCCGGCGCGTGCCGCAGCGCCAGGATGTCCTTGAGCGCCGCGGCGCTGGAGCCCCCGAAGAGACCTGCCTGCGCGCGCTGCTTGATCACCTCCGTTGGGACGCGGACGGCGCACGCGGCGATCTCGCCCATCGAGGAGGCGAGGGAGTGCGTGAGGAGGATGTGCGTGCGGGACGGGGAGGGGGCGGCGGCGGAGGAGTTAGTCGTAGCGGTAGGCGGCTCGAGGAGCAGGCGTTTCACCCCGTCGTACACGATAAAGAACGAGGCGGCCGAGGGGGCGGACCCGAAGAGCACCGAGGGGAGACCGGCGTAGATCCCGCGGATGGTTTGGCGGAGGGAGACCGCCGGGGCGGCGGCGGCGGCGGTACTGGCCGGCGTCGCGGTGCGCGCTTTCTGGAGGCGGGTTTTGATCGTGTCAAGGGGGTATAGGGAGCAGTCGACCGTGAGGCCGGCGATGGCTCCGGACTGGAACACAAGACATGGCATTAGTTGAAGAAGCAGTACCCGGGCAGGGAAAGCATACGATCAATGATCTCGTCCACAGCGAGACCAATGGCTCGGGTTCCTGCGCTGTAGCCATGGTGCTGGGGTCTGGGAAGGAAGTCGGCGGTCTGGCCAGAAATTTTAAGCCGATATACCCAGAGTAAATTGTGGCGACCCTGCAAGCGACTATGTTCGTCCCTCCCAATCACAAAGTTGAGAAAGTTGTTGAAAGGTGGTGGTGGTAGTGGTGTGCAAGCTCTGGCCGGGAAGTCGCCCGCCGAGAGAAGTCGGCGGATCGACAACCTCCGATTATCGGGCTAAACTCCGCAATCTCCGCCTTACGTCAAGCCCCAACTCCGCATGGTGATGCTCTCATTGATCCATGATAATATTTACTATGCCTATAACTGTCCTTCAACACAATCGAAACCTTGCAGGATGAAAACAGTCTGAGAAAAAGGCTCTGTCACAGCACAAGGCACAAGGAAGATTTCTAGCAGCTGACCCTCTATAGGGAAGAATGATTGCCTAAAGCAGCTCCGTTCCACGGACAGTGACCGCAACGCCTAGATCGAAAAGAAAACAAGAAACAACAACAAAAGACAACCCCCAGACCCTCTTTCCAACGCGGAGAGAGCCATGAGCACAGAATACCATCGATCACGCAGTTATATCTCACTGCACAGGAGCCCCGCCATGAAGCGCAAAAAAACAATCGACCGGATGGTGCCAGGTCACCGAGACAACCATCCTAGTCGAAGGGAATCAATGTAAAACAGACGAATCGAAGAAGACAGGGAAGAGGTAGTGTAGTCCGGGCGAGGAAGATTATAAGACATGTGGGACGTAAACACCCTTTTGCTCTGACAAAAAGAGAGAGAGGTAAAGGAAATAGGAAAAATAAGAATTATACAGTGGGGAATAGAGATAGATCACTGAAGAAGAGATCATTTAGCCTTGCTGGGAACTGGCACACTGGCCGAAGGGGGTTCCAAGACATGGGTGTGGCCTGGAGCATGGATGACCTCGCCGGTCAACTCCTGCCGACACGCCTTGATGTTGCGCACCCACTCATCAGTCAAGACATCATCCAGTGTAGCGCGCTCCTTCACCGACACCTTGAGCATCCGGCCAACAATGTACCGGCTCTCGCGGGGCAGGAGCCGGAGAAGGCGCCAGGGCCCCTTGATGACTTCCTGCCGCTGAGCCGCCGCCTGGGCGTTCGCCGGAAGTGGAGGGGCCTCTTTGCTCGTGGTACGGGAAGGCTTGTGAGTAGTAGCATTAGCATTCTTGCTATCCGTAGGTGCTTTGGTGACCAGCGGCTTGTCCTGAGGACTCTTCGGCGGCTGGTTTTCTTCGCCGGCAGCAGCAGGCTGTTGAGCTTGCTGCCCGTTCGCTTGGGAAGATTGTCCAGCGACGTCAGTATTGATACTGGGCTGGGCGGGTTTGCCTTCTTGGGCAGCGGTGATAAGATCAGGAGATGACTTGACGGCCCGGTGGCGTTTCGGGTCGACCTCAGGCACTGGAGTTCCAGGAGTGGGCGTGGAAACGAACAGTCGGTACGAGTTATCGCTGACACGGGGTTGTTTCCAAGGGAATCGGCGCAAAGTCATGCAGCAGAAGATGATGGCCAGGGACCAGATATCAGTCGGGCGAGGGTCATATTTCTTCTCGTCGTATACTTCGGGGGCGAGATATGGATCCGAGCCAACGATTCCTAACAAACCCTGTGAGCATGAACCTTCAAAGTACGTCATGACCAAACTTACCAGAAGAGAGGACGATATCATTCTCAAAAGGATATCGGAACACCACAGCGCTTCCGAAATCAATAAGCTTCATGATGCCATGCTCATTGACGACCACATTGTCCAACTTCAGATCACGATGGGCCAGGCCCATTCCGTGCAAGTAGGCGACTCCACTGAGGATCTGCTTGAAGGAGCAAGCAATCTCCTCCTTGACCATCTTTCCTGTCATGACGATGGCAAAAAGATCAAAGGGCGCATATTCCATGACTTCGTACCAATGGTTTCCTTCCTGAATAATGTCCAGCGTCTCGATGATATTGCCATGGTGGAGGGTAGACCCAATGCAAAATTCCGCAGTCACCTTCTTGGAGTATTCTTTCATAGTTTCCCATGAATGACGGTCTCGGAATTGCTTTACCGCAAAAGTCACCCCATCACTATTCCTCTTAAGCAACCGAACCGAGCCTCCGGCTCCCGACCCCAGCACCTTGCCCAACTTTCCATACTTCGAGTTAAGACCATGATCGTCTGCGAAGGGGACACTGTCGGCTGCCGCGTGGAATGGGCCGCCCTTGCCCGAGGTTCGACTCGATTTCTTGAATGGGATCGACGACGGTGAGTCACCTCGCTTGTGTTTGTTGTGGGTCCGCTTGAAGAAGCGCTTCAACTCTGACATATGGCCATGGGTCTTCCCCTCGGCATCCGGCTGTCGTGGTTCTCGCTTGGAATTGAAGAAGCCACTGCGCTTTTCACTGGACCGGAGATCCGTGGCACTGGAAGAACGAGGGCTCAATGGGCGCGAGAAGGCCGATGTCGTGGTGCGACGCTTGGAGTCCCGGCTGCCGAAGATGAAGCGCTGGTCAAGTTGGGCAAGGTTCTTCGGTTGCGGAGGACGCTTGCTACGAGCATACGGGTCATTCGGCTCACCCACCGGCGTGATCGCACCCGGAGGGGTATAGCTCTCGGGATCACCGCGAGGGGTGGCTGGTGGGCTTTCTTCCTGGGATCCATCAGTGGGGCCGATAAAGAACTGCGCCCGATGCCGCGCGCCGTGGTTCGGATGAGAAGAGGTCTGTGCCACTTGGTTCTGCTTCGACAGTTGATCGGTCGAGGATGGACGGGAGGAGGGGGCGCTTTGAGGAGCCTTATGTTGTGCGGCAGCGCTGGCTGGAGGGGAGGTTGCGGGAGTCATATGGGTGGACTGGGCGGCATTACCGGCCCGATCGGTGGTGTTGGATGTGGAAGAAGTATCAATCGACTTGGATTCCCGTGAATGTGTGGCTGCGGGCGTCAGCGGGGGTGATTGCATGGCGGACACTGGTGGGGAACCTCGGGGCGAGGGGAAGCCCGATCCATTTACTTCGCGTGCACTGCGGTCGCTCGATTCCCGGGAGGCAACCTGTAAGGAAGGATGCCTGTCAGCTTCTGGCCAGGTCTGGAATGGCTATGCAGGCTCGATGCGAGGAGAAAGCGATCCATGGAAATGGAATGTTCTTTGCTGTATGCTGCATGACCCCAGGCACCTATCACCGCTCAGGGATCGAGAATACATACTCTAGATGACGGCAACGAGATGGGATCGTAAGAGAACTGCCGCAATCGATTCTCCTGCAATTGGGACCGCTGCAAGCTGGCAGCTAGCGACCGCAGTTCCTCCTCATGCTGCGTATCCTTGATCGACTCTGCTCCAGGAGACTTGACGGAAGACGACGGATCGGTAGGCTCGATTTCCTCCGTTACCGTAGAGAACCGGACCTGCCCGGATTGAGGATTGAGGCTGGGGTTGACATCTCCCGAAGCCATGTTTGGACCAGGGGCCATCGGGCTGGAAGATTGGGGAGAGCGAGGTGCTAAAGATGAGAGCGAAATGGCATTAGAAGGGTGGTTGGAAGGCGGGGGAGGTTGCTTGGCCGCGAGTGGGAGAGTAGCTTACCAGGGTCGCTGGGATTGCTCGCTTGGGCAAAATCGGTCGCTTCAGACGTCATACTCGGCTCAAGACCACGCTGTGGGACGCATGCCCCTCCACGGTTGATGCCTGTGGAATCCCTTGACCACCGCGATTGGTAACCACCCCAGAACTAATTAAATAAATCGGAAATTCAGAAATGAAACACTCTTGCGACCAGCGGGCTGCTGTGAAAGGCGGGCGAGTAGGACAGAACGGGGGAGTTGCACGGAGGATTTCCCATGCACGACAACGGAGCAAATCTTTTGTCCAGAAACGGTCACCACTTTCACCCGGAGAACTTTGGACGCTGGACAGGAGATAGAAAGGATGAGGGAGATTTATCCCACTCGACAACCACAGGAATTATGATCCGAGAGTGGCCCTGTGACAAATTGAGAGGAAGTAGAAAAATGAGGAGAAGTTTAGAGAGGAGTGAGTTTGGGGGAGAAAGAGGAGGAAAAAGAGGAGGAGGGGAAGGTGGGAAGTGGAGAGAGGGTCTGGAAGTAGGTAGGAAACGGAGAGGGGAGGAGGGTTGGTTGGAAGAGGGAAGAAGGGGAAAGGCAGCAACAGGAATAAGACGGGGGGAGGAGGTTCCACCGGGCTAGAAGATGGAGAGAGTGGAAGAGGGAGAGCGAGAGAGAGAGAGAGAGAGAGAGAGAGAGAGAGAGAGAGAAGGAGAGAAGACAGAGCGAGACAAGAAACAGAGACCAGACTAGAGAGCCTAAAGAGAGAAGAGGAAGAGAAAGTCAGAAAGTCAGAAAGAGAAGCAGCCGTTCGGCGAAGGCAATCCAGCCGGGCGGCGGCAATAGCGGCGGCGGCACGGACTGAGTCTGCTTTCAACTCTACTACTTCATGTACAGTACTGTACCTGGTTCGTCGATAGTTCCTCACTTGAAGAAGACTAGATTCTACATATCTAGGGTGACTCAATATCGTCAAGCTAACTTAACGACCGATGATATTCCTCAGAATGGATGGAGTTGGAAAAGCTATTCTGGCTGCAATGGGAAAGTTGCCCGGGAATGGATTTCTTCCTCTCCAGCCGGTTCCGGTTCTAGAATCCTGGGGTTCCCAAAGGGGGAATCTATTATTATCGGGAGAGTAGAAGAGGGGGGGGGGAATGAATTGCGCCTGCATGCACGGTTCACCAACTTCTCTAAGTATTCAAGTACTTAATTCTCTCTATCTCCATCATCCTCATCGCAACTTGGAACACGATCAGCGACCCCGTGCGGAGAAGATTGGCCATGGAGAGACCGACCAGACCAGACCAGACCAGACCAAGACCAAGACCAAGACCGGCTCTGGGTTCGGGATTCTGCGGAGAGAACCATAAAATCGATCGATTCTTGGGGGTCACCCGATGAACTCTGGGATGTCGACATCATCTTGTTATCAGAGAGGAAGGGCAAGGAAAGTGTCATCTGGCCGGAGTTGGCAGTCAGCTGCTAATGGTTCCAATCATCATTGTTATCATGATTGTTAATAATGATGACTGGTGCCGAGTTGCCGGTTGATGGTACGTAGGTACCTAGTAGTCTACGGAGTACTAGGTAATCTGCGTACGTACCCCGCTAGATTCTTCTGGATCTTGACTGGCGTGGACTTAAAACCAGCCCCTTCCCTGCCATGCACATTATTATTTGACCGGTCCACCCCGCCGGAATGAACCATATTAGCCCGTCCCCACTGCTCCGTATCCATCGTACTATGTATCTAACTACTAACTATCTATGAGTCCATAAAAGATCCCATGTCAGAGCTTCAACTGGCAGCCCTAGCTGGGATCATGGGTCACCCCGGAAATAGGCATATTGTATGTGTAGACGATTCATGCTTGGTACTGATATTCATCGCGATTCCTCGCTATTTGATTGAGAAAGATTAATGTGTGAACATTTCTGGGTTGACATCTTTGTAACAATGATGACAGCACAAAACGCCAGTAAAAAAGGAAGATGGAAATTCGATGAATTCAGAGCGGGGATGCTGCTGCTGCTCAACGGCAGCCTTGGAGGCAAGGCCGGCATTGATTTGTTCGCATCGACAGGGAGAATCACCAGCAAACCCTGTCGTTGCGGATCCTTTTAGGCTATAATATCCCCATCTATCCTCCAGTCGATGACCAGGGTGCATCAACCACCAAAACTTTGGCAGAATGCGATAAGGCTGACCGATGTGGATTTCTGCCATTGCGCTGTAAGCCCTCTCATTACTCTTAATCAAATATCAACAAGACTGATTCGAGTTGCTGCAACACCAGCATACTCTGGATAGACCTCAGAACATTAACATGTCACTCTCCGACCATCTTTGGCCTTTCCGAATCGAGGCACTATCATAAAAAGGTAGGTTCGCTTCCTTGATCCCAATCAGCAGTCCAACCCTATCAAGCGGTAACTTAACAAGACCACTCTACTACTCAGCGACGATTCGAGTGCGATCGCCGCCCAGATTATGTCAAACCAGAAAATGCGGAGAACAAAGGAGCTGCAACGCCGCCGGAAATAGAGGCAGGAATGTGATCGACTCACTCTGACGCATCTCCGCAATCCCCCCTTGTAGAATGCCAAGCATCGCATCATCACCAAACTTGCATGCAAAGCAACATACAAGGGCTATTCCCGCCCTTGCCAAGCCCAAGTGGTTTAGCCCAGCCTGGAACGACTTGCACTGCCTCATTCTGCGACCCTCAAAATGACCAAGTCCGCTCGCTGTATCCTAGGTGATCGCGATTGATCGTCGACGGGATTGCTACACTTTGCGTACCCTCCTTGTCTTGGCCTGGCTCGGCAGAAATGGGGGATGACCGTTTCATGCCTCATCACCCCCGGTGCAGTCATTGTCCGCCTCTTGGCTCCTTGCGACTCGCACTTTCGCCTCCTGCTGTCTCCTCTTCCGCCCTCAGGTCGCACGATGGACGGCGGAAGGAGCTTGGCATAGTGACAGTAGCAGCCGTGCGGGTGACACGGAGGAGTCGCTTTGCTTGAGCCAAGACCGATGCCCTACTAGACCTACAACATCGGCGAGCATAGACGGTCTCTTAACAGTCCAGAGTAGCCAACTCGCTGACCCTGCCACCCACTCAATGGACTCTTACGGTTTGTGAAGCAGGATCGAGGTTGTTTGTGTAGAACGCTTCAGGCACCAGCCAACGCTTTCTATATCACATGCAATGCCTATTAATACAAATGACAACAGACCCAGTCTCCCAAGAACGCCATGATCATCAGTCCCAGACAGCTAGCAGCAGTAATCGCCCGGTAGCAAGGATCCCATATACAATACAGTCGACTTCCCCCTCGTCCGCCGTTCACGGCACCACCTCCACTCCAATCGACTTCGCCTGGGCGATGACACTCTTGCACATGCCCTGCAGACTCAGACCGGACAGTCGCGTCTCGGTGTGCTTGATCTTGGCGATTTCGTAGATGTGCTTGAGAGAGACCTTGCCCACAATCTCGTGGCCGGGGTTCTGGGCCCCGCGGATGCGGTTCTTGCGCGGCTCGACGTTGGCGGCTTGCAGGAGCAGATAGGTCGTAGTCGGGGTCCGGAGGTCAAACAGGAACGAACGGTCGGGACGGACGGTGACGAGGGCCGGGATAGGGACACCGGTGTTGATGTGCGCAGTGCGGGCGTTGAACTCCTGTATAGTGGTTGCCGTGAGCCATGTGTTCTCTTTCTTTCGGGCACCGGTATTTCGCTTCCCCAGGATACAGCCGGAATACCAATGAAAAAAAAAAAAAAGAAAAGCTTATTGTAATCGATCCAATATGGACATTCAACTCACCTTACAGAAATCCATACTCTTCACACCCTTACTACCCAGGGCCGGACCGACGGGGGGACTGGGGCTGGCCTGGCCAGCTCCCACGATCAGCTTCACGATCTGATCCTTGGGCAATGCCTTCTTCGCCATGATGAGTGATTATCGGAGGTGGATGACAGATATTCGAGATCAAGAAGAGGGGGCAATTGACAGGCTGCTCAGGTAGTCAACAATCTAATACTTTCGCGGCGGACCCGATGAATGCGGCATTGAGAACTGCAACTTTTCTTGGGGTTCCCAAAGGGGAAAGGGCGCGGCGGAGGCCGGAGTTTCTTGCCGTTTGGGCGACAAGCGAAACCATCCCGACTTTCAATGCGGACGTCATTCTTCGTCCCTTCGACGATCTATGAACCGCTTGATCCTCATTTCTGGTTCTTCGCCTGGTTCGCAGTGTTGGCATACCTCATAGTAGCTGGCACCAGCTAATTATCACTTGTACGAGAGATATCAGACAATCCTGACCACTGCGTCCTTCACCCAACTCTCGAAAGTACCTCTCGGGACCCAGACGGTGATCGACCCTTTTGGGCCCCGCCCGCTATCGATTTCCAGTTCCCGCCCACCTTCCAATCCTCCTGCTACTTTTCTCCCCCCCCACCGCTTGTGCTGCTTCATCCTCTCTTACCCATATTCCTCCCCCCTTTCACTCATACAAACACAGCCCACCATGAACTGGCTTAAGTCTACGTAAGTTGGTGGCTGGTGACTCTAGCGGCTGATAGCCATAGCATCGCCACATTTACTAACCACTTGCACTTTCTAGTCTCGCGAGCGTTGCTGGCACTCAGGAACCGATCTATGGCCCGGAGGCTATCAGATCGGTTGCCCAGCAGGCGCAAGAAACCCCTTACACCGAACTCACCAAGGATGATCTCCGTTGGCGTGCTCACCAATATACCAACGTCGAGACTCATGTCTTCTATGTCATGGGCGACAATGGTACCCTAGCACTGTGCCAGGTCATCTACAGCAACATTGTGTGAGTTTGGACGGATCTCTTTCGGTAGCTGCATCACTGACCTTGGGATGTGCTCGGACCAGTGGAATTCATACTACCGCCCAGTTCACTTCCAAGATCTTCAACCTCAAGGGTGACGCTCCCCACAACTGGCACTCCGACCCTCTCTCCAACTTCATGTTCGACGAGAGCATGCTTTCCTTTGGCGCCGACAACCTCGCCGTGACGCTGAATGAGGAAGGAGATACCTACACTATCAAGTCGGCGGTGAATGAGGACAGTCTGGTGAACTTGACCTTCAAGCGCACCGCTCCGGGCTTCGTTGTCGGCAAAGACGGTACTTCATACTTCGGCACGGATCCGCAGAACCCCTGGGGCTCTATGAGCCATGCCTTCTGGCCTCGTTGCGCCGTGGAAGGAACCATCACCACCAAGGAACAGAACTTCGACCTCAAGGGTCGCGGCCTGTTCATCCACGCGCTCCAGGGCATGAAGCCCCACCACGCGGGTAAGTCGGATCTGGGGTTGTCCATGGACCCTGCTGACAGGAAACAGCTGCGAGATGGAACTTCCTCAACTTCCAGACCCCTACTTACTCGGCCATCATGATGGAATACACTACCCCTCCCTCGTACGGATCCACCGTGGTCAACGTCGGTGGTATTGTCAAGGACGGCGAGATCGTCTATGCTGGTAGCACCAACACTGCCACCCACACGGAATCGAACCAGGATGCCGAGAGTGACTGGCCCGAGCCGAAGTCCATCAAGTGGGTCTGGGAGGGCAAGTCCAAGGATGGCAAGGAGGTTCACGCCGAGGTCGATGGAGCTCTGGGCAGCCGCCTGGACCGGATTGACGTGATGGCCGAGGTCCCGGGCTTCATCAAGACCATTGCTGGCAGTGTTGCCGGTACCCGGCCGTACATCTTCCAGGTATGTATCCTCCGAACTATGTGGAGTCAACATCAAACTAATCTTCGGACAGTACTCTCCCCAGGAGAAGCTATCTTTGAAGCTTAAGATCGGCGATGAAGAAATCACCGAAGAGGGTACTTTGTTCTCTGAGGCGACTTTTATCTCATAGAGGGAGGACATGATGCGGACATTGTCCCGGCGTTTTGAGTGGTGTTGAATTTTCACGCTCCCCTTTCATGCATCCATACGCACCGCAACGTGATATTGATTCTAATAGCCTATAAACTTACCACGATATCTAATGTTATGTCATGTGTTACCGTTTTCCAGCGTGTTCCCTTGCGTTTCAGTATGGGGTTTTGGGGGGGGGGCAACGCCGAGACTTCCCCTCGCCGACATAATCACCGCAGCACAACACATCACCAGATTCCCCTTTGGCTGTAGACCTCCAAGCTTCAACTCATGCCGACAATCACATCCCCTCACCCAAGACCGACGAAAGCATTACCCTCGCATTACCCCCAGCTAGTCATCATCCCGTCGCCCAGCCTATTCAAGATGGACCTCAATCTCCTCAAGGAGAGTGGCAAGCATCGGGCCTTCATGCCCAGACGCCGATTCCGGTACGCTTTATGCCTTCGCCTTGCTTGCTTTTGCCTTAGCTCTAGCTGCTGTTTTTGCCTACAGTACAGCCAGTGTCAATCTCCCAGCTACACTGCCACTAACCTCACTCTGAACCTCCCAGCAAATTGGCTCGAGACAACATCCAGGGTGTCAGTAAGTTGCAACTTTTGCTGCAAGCTATATGATGATACCTCCAGACTGACAGGAATCAGCTCGCCCCGCGATCCGGTATTCATCCCCCCATTTCCTTACCTCGCCACCGCAAAGCGAGTATCATATTGCTCAGCAGCATTGCAAACAACCAGCCCTGAAGCAGTCACTCATCTTGAAGCAAACCGCAAACTAACCCACTCCCATCCTAGCCGTCTCGCCCGCCGCGGTGGCGTCTATCGCATCGGCAACGAGATTTATGAGGAAGCGCGCAGGGCCCTCAAAGATCGTCTTACTGAAGTAAGCCCAGCCCAGCCCACAACACACTGGCAAACTCCAAACTCCAAACTCCAAACCCAGCCCTCAAACATATGATCCGAATCACGGGTTCCACAAACCCGTACCTCTCATCTCTTTCATCTAACTGTTCACTACAAGATCATCCGCCGCATTGTGCACGTTATGGACAGCGGAACCACTCCAGGCCATGAGCGTAAGGTAAGCTTTCCTCTTTTCATGTCATCTCATTTATAATTTCACTTTACCCCAGGAAGGAGAGAGAAGAGGAGAGGATCCTGACCTCACTCACTCACTTACGCACTCACTTGTACTGTACTGCACTGCACTGTCTTCTTAGCATCCATGCCCACCCCCCGGTCTTAGTTTCTTTTCATTTGTCTTTCCCTTGTATCAGAAGATATGATCAAAGCATGCCTTGCTCTACAGGGTAGTACACATCCACTAACCAAAACACTGGATAATTATAGGTGGTGACGACCAGAGATGTACGTCACTTTCCACTCTTCCCCCGATTCTCCCCTTCTACGCAATAATGCAGCATCCAGCAGCACAACCGGCAATCCCAACCCATAGAAGTGAAACGAGCTATGAGTTAACCCACACTGCTAATTCCTAACTGAAATACAGGTGACGTTTGTTTTGAACCAGGTAAGCAAGCACAAGCACAAGCACAAGCAAACCCTCCCAATCCCATACCTCCCCCATGCCCATGTCCATCCATCCCAGTCCCAGAGATACCACCAGAAACCAAACTAACCCCACGAAACCAAAAGATGGGTAATCCCATCTACGGCTTCCAGTAGCACCTCCAAAACCCCACCCGTCCAAACCCGAAACAAATCCACATCTCTCGCCCACTTTTTTCGTCACGACCTCTTTCTTTTTTCCATGGCTCCTACAGACAGTACATGTACATGTACCTCAACGACCAAACCAACAACCAGATCAACCCGACTTACGACTTACGATTTACAACTTACCCTTTCTCTGTCCCGTCCCGGTCCGTGGACCCATACATACCCATACCCATACCCATACCCATACCCATACCCATACCTATACCCTCAGAAGCTATCCGACCCCCCCTTTCGAAAAGCCAGAAGTCAGGAACACGTAACACAAGCCTCACGTACCTTGACCTGACCTGACTTGACTTGCCTGACGTGACCTTTCTCGCTGGGATATCGATGTTTTGGATCTAGCCTAAGGTTGGGTTCGTGAAAATGGCTTGGTCAGCGGTTTTGTGGACTACACTGGTCTGGGGTTCATCCTGTCTTGACAACTCAGCAGAGCGTAGCGGGGGTGGAGGGTTTAGTTGATGTTTGTGGTAAAGGGGCAGGCAGGTGGGGTTGGTTTGATTTGTCTTGTCTGGTGTGGTGGCGGTGCGGTGCTTGGTTGGTGTGGTGTGGTGTGGTGTGTTGGACTTTCAGCCTTCTGGTGGGAGTGAACTTTGTTTGGTCTGACTTTGTCTGGTCGTGGAAGAAGTTGACGATGACGGTGATGATGTTGGCTTGTATCTGGTTACTTTGAATGGGTTGGGAGCTTAGGAGCTGATGGAGGGATTAGGTTCTGGCCTGGGGACTAAGTGGGTTGGGTTGATCTGATGGCTGTTGCTCTGGGAATGATCATGTGTTGTTATTTGTCGATGCAGTGTCTTGCAATTCAGTGGTGATACTGACTCCCATAGTACTAAGTTTCGTTTTCCTCCGTGGTAAACATTGATGGCTTGTTCCTGGGTGGAGCTGCAACCTACGCAACGAGTCATAGTCTTGACCTCATATTCTCTGAACGGTACAAAGTAGTATTCCGTTCACGTTCATCTAGACCGCCCATTTCCTAAACATACAATATAATATTCCGTACACGTCTAAAATACAATCAACCACCTCGATATCGATCTATTTACCCCCCTCCTCTAAAGTACCCAGTCCACGAAACAAGTAAAATAAGAAGACAAGAAAAGAAGAGACCAGACTACTCCCTCACAGAGCAGAGCAAGTCAAACATACACAATCGAATCTTCCGCTCCCCATTCGTCACAAATTCTAGGATGAGTCCCACCAAACACAGACCAATTAGGCAGACTCAATCATCAACTGCTCCCCCTCATCCAACAAAGTCGTCACCTTAGCCAGATCGGAGATCATCTTGCGGCCGTGGCCCACCAGCAGCAGCTTCTCCGCGTTCGCCGGCAGACCCAGGTAGGTCGGCGGCTCGCGCTCGGGGAGCTTGTTGACCCAGTCGACGAAGTCGCGGATGCTGGTGCCGCCGGGCAACGTCAAACTGTCGCTGGGGCTGTCGCCGACTTCCGAAACGATCTTGTGCTCGTCCTCGAAGGCGGCCGGCGTGAGGAGATTGGTCACCAGCGACTCCAGCTGCGCGAAGTCCCCTTGGTCGTCGACCTTGCCGCCGTACGTCTCCGTCACCAGGGTGCGGATCATCTCCCAGGGGAGCTTCTGCGGGGCGACGTTAGAGCGGCCCTGGGCCACGGTGTCGACCCAGTAGTCGATAATGTGCGCGGAGCATTCGTACTGTACGGGGTTAGTGTGTGAACGAGAAAGAATACACAGCAACAAAACTTACATCGCTGTCGTTAAACTCCCAGAATCCCTTCCATCCCAAGTTTGGCGCATAGCGGAGCCGTTCTTGCACAACGGCATGCAAGAAGCACAGGAGCAGGTAGACACGGGCCTTCTCGACCGGCGCCTTGGAGGCTCGGGTAGACAACGAGGACAGAGAATCCTTCATGTTGGCCCGGACACCGGCGGGCTGCTCGTACATGAGAACGCGCGAGGCACGCAGAAGATTGACCGGGATCTTGGGACTGGATTCCATCGACAGGAAGAGTCGGAAATCCCTGTGCGGCTTGAGCGACTCCAGGCGTTTCTCCAGGCTCTGCAGCCAGGACGGCGCCAGGTGGACGTTCTTGACTTGGACCCAGGTGCCGGCCGCCGCGGCGTTGCTGATCGCTTTGTCGGCGCTCTGCAGACCTTCGTTCGATCCCATGGCAATGTTCGCGCAGGTAGCGTCCATCCGCTCGACAAGGGCGTCGACCTTGTAGCTCGCGTCGAAGCCAGGGCTCGAGCTCAGGGAAATTGGCGTGGTGGCGTTGACCTGCTCGACAATGTCCTTCAGATCCGTGCTTCCCTCGAATAGTTCCCGACCAAAGACTGCCTCAATGAAGCGCTCCGCAGTGGGAACAAATCTGTCCATGCGGCATAGCTTCACCAGCAACAGTGACCGAAGCAGCTTGTCGAGGTTCTCCATGTTGTCATCCCACACAGCAGGGATGAAGTTCTCCGCTAGCTCCTCGCCGAGGAACTGGTCCCACTGCTCAGGAGAAATGCCGGGGAAGGTTGACTTGAAGATTGACATGTTGGAGATCTTGTTGAGCACTTCATCCTTGCGCTCAGTCGCTGTAGACAGATCCACGCCCTCCATTGACTCATCAAGGATCATATCGATCAGACTCTTGTCCATCGGGTAGGGCGCAGCCTGAGCAAGGAGCATAGCGAGTGTGATCCGGTCTTTCTGGATCAACCCAAGCGAGGTACGCTGATAGGTCGTAACGAACAGGTCCCGAAGGATGATCTGGACTCGCGCAGCATGGTCCTTCTCCTGAGCAAGACGCTTGTTCTGGTACAAGACGGAGTTGAAAATATCAACAAAGAACTGCAAAGAAAACTGGTAGAAATGGTTGATATGGTGAAGCTGCTCCAAGACGGCAAAAACAGCACTGCAAGAGCGAGCAATGATGCTGTAGTTGAGGGTGATATTCTCGACCTCCGTCATGACGCCTTCGGTCTCCAGCATCTTCTTCGAAATCTCAGCCGCCTCCTTCTTCAATGTCTCGAGCGTTTCGATGACATTGTCATCGTCCAAGATATTGCCGCGAGACTCGTTCAGCGCTTGAAGAAGTCGCTTTTCGAGTTGACGAAGATGAATCTTGAACTCTCCCTGCAATTTGACCAGATCGGTACGCCGGGCATCGACGTCGGGGCGCTCAAACTTCAGGACCTCGTTCAGAGACTGCGTCTGCAAGCTGCTCTGCGTGACAGTGAAATTGACAAAGGTTGTTCGGCTGCAAACATCCGGAGGGAACGAGGCAGACGGATCTCGTGTGGAGAGGAATAGTTTGAACGAGGGCGAGAAATCAATCTCTTGCTTGCCAAGTTGGATAAGCACACGACCGCCAGTCTTCTGGTACTCCTTGTTGAGGACATGGTTCAGAATGGGGTCCAGATGT